ATGATTATTGAGAATATCATTATCTATCAGTTTTTCCTACCCTTAGACAAACCGTCCCAAAGGTCTTCTATAGGAATGTTCAAGGTCAGTTTATCATTGGAAACGCTGTAAGCAATGGGCGCCGAATGCACACCAACCGCCAAATAGATTACCATGAAAGCGACCACGAAAACGAAATTCATTTTGAACGACTTGACAATGGCTCTTTTCTCGTATGGCCTCTCTGAACGTTGAGTATTGAATCCCGCCTGACTTCACTACAAGTACAGTGATGTTGGTTCAGAGCTGAGATGTTTAAGTATTTAGACTGTAGTTAATAGTGACTTAATACGTTTTCTGCTCCACTTCAAAAACATTATTGACTCGTAGCTACTCCTGCTAACTCATGACTATAGCGTGCAATAGATCAGGGTCAACGTCTAACTACAATACCAAAGTCCATCCGTTGTAAGTCCTGTAGTAGTTTTGATCATTTCACGAATGCATGCCTGTTAATTTCTCCCAGGTCCAAGGACTCTCAGGGCCCAACCCACACCGATCAACAGAGGTGTCCCCAGTGCCCGCAATCCTTGTCTCATAGCCTACCAGCACCAGTGTAACAAACCTGGATTTATCCACTCTGGAAAGGATCATGCAGAATTGTCCAGCCCAGGCTCCCGGCTAAAGCAAATATTCTTTACGAAGCCGTACCCGATTACTAGCGCCGCCCTCAAATAGACGCCGCATCGACAAGTCGAAATATTTCAATTTTCTATAAGCACCACGGCGATTTTTAGAGTAAACACGGTACTCGCATTTCGTCTCACAACCCAGCCCTCATCTCGGAGTCGGTCGATCCTGAATTTTTAACAGCAACTAGCGACAATGAGGACTAAATCCCCTTAATTATACCGATAATTGTCTCCCGTTTTTTTTCTGTCAAAGTACAGGGAATATCGCATATATAACCACTACAGAACGAATGGGTTCTCAGTCACGTTCTTGACTCTCTGTAGGGGACTAGTGTTGTGATCCAAAGTCTGGAGCGGAAGTTTCTAAAATTAAGTTTCCAGGAATGAAATTTCTTATTCTTAAACTTATTTTTAAGCCTGCATGAAGTACAGTATTTTGTGGTAGCTTAGCTTACCTGAGAAAAGAATGCTGAAATCGAGAAAAAGAAAAAAAAACAGAAATAAGTTTGTTTTTTCTTTAACGCGCGTTTTATATTATTTTCGGATTAAATGAGCATTTATGCTGACAATACGGCGTGATTTGTCTAATAGCAGGAGCCATAATCGGGGACGGAGACCGTAAGTCTCGGGTTTCGCGCGCACCTATGATATGGGACAATTTTTCTATTTTTAGAACAAA